ACGCCCACAAGTTCTTGTGCAATTACCGGCGGCCTGTGGCCCAGCGGGCGCAGGGCATCGGGATCTGGCTGCTCCTCCTCGAGGCCATGGCACACCTCTCCGTCATTGTGAACGTGAGCTCGCGGTAGGGGACAGAGTACAGGGCCCGATGGGCAGCAAGAGGTCAACGACGGGCCAAGGGCGCTCAGGAAGAGGGAACTGGGGCTCTGGGTCGGTCGGGAAATGGCGAGCAGAGGGCTAGGATCCGGGCTGCAGGTTCATTCCACCGTGGGAGTGGGAGCCGGAGCGAGTTAGGGGCTTGGCCTCTGAAGGCCCTCTGGCTCTGCAGGCTTTCCTCATCGCCTTCACCTCGGACTTTCTGCCGCGTGTCCTGTACCAGTACGAACACCACAACCAACTGCACGGCTTTGTCAACTTCACGCTGGCGCCCGCGCCCCCCGCCTACCTGGCCCAGGGCAACCACACACCCTGCAGGTGGAAGACCCGCTGGGCTCGGCCTGAACCGAGCGTCTGGAGGGGCAGGGCCGAGTTAGATGGGCGGAGCCTGTCTGGGACGGGCCTGTCTAGGAGGAGCCAAGGGCCGAGTCTGGGCAGGGTGGAGCCTGTCTGGGAGGAGAGGGACTGAGTCGCGGCGGGGCGGACCCTGTCTGGGAGAAGCTTAAGAGGAGCCGAGGGCTGAAGCTGAGCGGGGCGGACCCTGTCTGGGAGGGGCGGGGCTAGGGCGGAGAGGGGCGGGGCCTATCTGGACAGCCGGGAGCTGAATCTGCAGGCGGGGCGGAGTCTGTGGGAGGCCTGGGCTGGGCTGGGGCCTCGGTGGGAGGGTAACAATTTGAGTCCGCCGGCAGATAGATGTCTTGGGTCGGGTAGGGTATGTGCCCACCCGGCTGGGCCAAGTTCTAAAGGCGAGGAAGGGCCAGAGTGCGGGGGTTGGAGTCGAGATCCCAGAGGCTTTCTGAATCCCGCAACCCAGGTACAAGGCCTTTCGCGACGCGCAGGGGAACCTCACCCTTTTCTACTGGAAGCTACTGGCTGTGCGTCTGAGCTTCATTATCGCCTTCGAGGTAGGCTCAGCCATCTAGCTTCTGGGCTCTGCTATCTGGCTTCGAGTTCAGGCTCTGCCACGATCGGCTGTAAACGGGGATTATATCATACAATAGAATCTGCTTCACAGGGTCGTTGTGAAGTTTTAGTGTCAAGCACTTGCAGTGCTTCATACATTGTAGGTGCTCAATGAATTAATGGCACTAATAATAATGTTATTATCTCTTGCAAGAGACCTGGAAAAAGGAGAAGCAGCATCTGCCTCCAGTTTAGTTTAAGACCCTCTTTTACTGGCCCTGCCTCTAACAGGGTCCCTAGTGTTAAGGGGTTCGAATAATACCTCTACCTTTGGGCGAATGACGACCTCTTTATGCTTTGGTTTCTTCATCTGTAAGACAGGAGTAGAAATTATTCCCACCTTATCGAGTTGTTGGGAGGATTAAATGGAGTTAATATCTTGAAAACTCTCAGAATAGCCCCTGCCTTGCACAGGGTACGCGCTCCATAAATTAATTGCTAAAGCAATCATTCTCTCTTTGGCCTCCCTTCTCCCCAGCACGTGGTGTTCTTCTTTCTGCGCCTCATCGCCTGGCTCGTGCCCGATGTGCCTGCCGCCCTGGCTACCAAGATAAAGCGCGAGCGCTACCTGGCCAAGCAGGCGCTGGCAGACAACCGGGAGGTGCTGCTTTCAGTCTGCAAGGCTCATGGACCCTGGTCCCACCCCCACCAAAATGACTACGTCCCTTGATCCTTCTTAACGCTTTAGCTCGGCACTCTAGCCCCGCCCCCTTGTTTGGCCTTGTCTGGAGCAGAGGTTGGCGGAGGCGGAACTCCTGTACTTTCCGCTTGGTCCTACCTCCTCATCAAGTTCCGCCCACACCACGCCCTCTTTACATTTACGCCTGCTGGAGTGGGCTCCTCTGTTCTGGAGGGGCTGCCTTATCAAGCCATGCTGCTTGTCCAAGGCAGCAGTGTCGCCTTTCCCAGAGCCCAGAACTCGGGGGCCTGAGAAGCACGACTTCCCAAGACCCTAGGTCACCCAGGATTCTCCTTTGGTTGAGGTCCTCTGGCTCCCACAAGGGGTCTCTTAGTCCCTTGGCCAATGGCCCCAAAGCCTGCTGGGAGTTGCAATAAGAGGGTCGGAGTTTTTTGGAGAGCCCTAGTTCTACGTTGCTGCTCTCTCCCTGTTCCTTCCTTGGCTCCTACCCACTTAATGCTGACAATAAACCTGTCTCTGTGACCCAACGTGCCACCTGTCCTCTCCACCTGGTCCCCACCCACCCTGTGCAGTGTCTCCTCTTTATTTGATTGTGCTCTGGGTTGAGGGGGCAAAGTGGATATAAGGCAGCAGATGGACCCTAATTGCTGTGAGCTCAACGGTCTCCGGTTGACAGCTAAGGGAACTACTCTGGGGGGGAGGGGTGTTACTGTTCTTCTGGTACCGGGCTGTGAACCCCCTGCCCTGTCTGCTCATCCAGGCCTGCGGCATATGAATAACTGTAAGTGCTTTAGTTAAGTCAGCAGAGACATCTCCCAACAGACTCACACGCTTTTCACCAGGCCCTCCCAAAAGCCTGGCGAGGCAGTACGAGGCCATGGTTAAGCACACGGGCTGGTGGTGAGTCAGATAGAACTCAATTTCAATACTAGCTCTGCCCCTTCCTAGCTGAGTGACCCTGGGCAAGTTATTTAATCCTTTGAATCTCAATTTCCTCATCTGTAAAATAGAGACTTCATAGAACTGTTGAGAGATTTAAATGGGGTTGTGCCCAAAGCCTAACCTGTACAAGCCTCATGTACTTACCCAGTAAGTGGGAGCAGCAGCAGCATCAACCTCTAGGGTGTGGGTGGAAAGTAAATCAGTACAGGGGCCGGCAGGTAGCATGGTGGTTAAGGTGCTGGCCTCCCACGTGGCCGACCATGGTTTGCATCCTGGACCTGGTGGCTTGCTTTCTCACTCTCCTCTTTCTCTCTCTCTGGTCAAAGTGAATAATAATAATTAAATTTTTTTGAGAGTTTTTTTTTTGCTATAGGGTGCGTGTGCTTGCCAGACAGACAGAGAGAGACAGAGAGAAATCACCCCCCAGGGGGATGGCCACACCGCAATCCCTTCTCCTCCATTCTCCTCTCGGGATCTTGGGCACGCACACACACACGCGCTCGGCGTGAGTTTTAAGCCACTGGGTTTGGGACGCGAACCGTGGTCAACTATGTGAGAGTCCAGACATAGCCATTACGCTCACTGCTGGTTACTTACCAAGGAAGGGGGAGCAGCAGCAGCATCAACCTCTAGGGTGTGGGTGGAAAGTAAATCAGTACAGGGGCCGGCAGGTAGCATGGTGGTTAAGGTGCTGGCCTCCCACGTGGCCGACCATGGTTTGCATCCTGGACCTGGTGGCTTGCTTTCTCACTCTCCTCTTTCTCTCTCTCTGGTCAAAGTGAATAATAATAATTAAATTTTTTTGAGAGTTTTTTTTTTGCTATAGGGTGCGTGTGCTTGCCAGACAGACAGAGAGAGACAGAGAGAAATCACCCCCCAGGGGGATGGCCACACCGCAATCCCTTCTCCTCCATTCTCCTCTCGGGATCTTGGGCACGCACACACACACGCGCTCGGCGTGAGTTTTAAGCCACTGGGTTTGGGACGCGAACCGTGGTCAACTATGTGAGAGTCCAGACATAGCCATTACGCTAACTGCTGGTTCCCAGGAGGAAGCCTCTTTACCCCCCAATACTACCTGGCACTTATCTGAGTGCTCAGCAATTTAAATATGCACACAAATACCAACACTCATGTGGCTAACAGGTCTTACCATGTGCCAGGCGCTATTCTGAGCACTTCTCATATGTATTAATTTACTTTCTCTTTTTGTAATGTTAATTAATTAATTAATTATTATTATTGGGACCAGCAGTTAGCGTAATGGTTATGTCGCTGGACTCCCACATAGTCGACCGCAGTTCGCGTCCCGGACCTGGTGGCTTAAAACTCATGCTGGGCGCGTGTGCATGCGTGCCCAAGATCCTGAGAGGAGAATGGAGAAGGGATTGTGGCGTGACCATCCCCCCTGGGGAGTGATTTCTCGCTTTCTGTCTCTATGTCTCTCTCTGTCTGTCTGGCGAGTGCACACGCCCTATAGGGAAAACCTCTCCAAAAAAAAAAGAGGCTTCCTCCTTTCCGGGCCAGCAGGTGGCATGGTGGTTAAGGTACTGGACACTCCCACATGGCTGACCACCGTTTGAGGTCCAGACCTGGTGGCTTGCTTTCTCACTTCCTCTCTCTCGCTCTCTCTTACTCACTCTGTCCCTCTCTGATCAAATAAAAAATAATAATGAAGTTAAATAAAATACTTATTAAAAAAAGAGGCTTCTTCCTCTGCAGAGCAGGCAGAAAGGGAGGGGTCATTGTGAGGAGTGGCCATGCTGGAAGGGCTGTTCAGGGCGATGCCAGATGTCACATCGCCGCTTCCCAGGATTGACGTAGTCTCGCGACCACAGAGACAAGTGTCCCCACTTCACAGGTGCAGTAGCAGACTCAGAGAGGGTCAGCAGAGTTCTCATGGTCCTTGAGGAGACCGAGGCTTGGGAGGTTCTTTGCAAAGCTCCCAGGATGCTCCCCAGCCCCAGCAAGTCCCTTGAGTCCACCCTACTCTTGGGAAGCTCCAGAAGAGGGTGACCTGTCTCCCAGGAGTAGAAACAGTGTCTTCCCCAACTTCAGGCCTTCGGTCTGGGGTCCTTCAGAGCTTCTCTTGGGCATAGGACTCCCATTGTTTCAGCCCCCTCTCATACCCCAGACTGGCCAAACCGGTTCTGGGAAGGGGGGCGGGGAGCGGGCACGTTGAGACAGCCGCCTGCCTCTGCGAGGTTCCCTCGCTGTCTCCTCCCCCTCCCCGCTCCACACAATACCCAGGAGCCTGCATTGCCCGGCTCAGGGGCCATGCTGACATCGCCCCCTGAGGACTTGGCTGCAACCCCAGAGCCCCCAGGGTATCCTGGAGCCCCGGCCCAAGCCGGCAGCTGGCTCGAGCTCCGGGGCTGAGGTAGGGCCCTAGCCGGGCGCCTCAGCCCCATCCTCCTCCTACCAGCCGTCCCCCAGGTGAGTCCTTTGTGCTCCCCGCCTGGCCTCTGGTCCTGGCCCTGACCCACTTATGGCTGGGCCTCTACAGGCTGCTGGCCTGGATTGCCTTTCCAGCTGTGAACTCCCACCTGGCTTTGTCACTCAAAGGACAGAGGGGCCCTGGCAAGGTCCCTGTTCCTCTGGACAGTGGGACAAGAGGGACGAGGGAGGGGGCGGGGAAAAGTTAAGTACAGGAGGCTGGAAGCAACTTCCCTGGGTCATGGCAATGTCCAGGGACCCTCTCTGCCAGCCTTACCAGAAGGGCTCATTGTCCGCTGTGATTGGCTGCACCCTCTGCATGGTACTCTCCTTGGCCTCTGCCCATCCTTCCTGGCCTGCAGGCATTTAGAAAACCAATGACATGGGTCACTTAGTGGGAGCGGCTGGGGGGATCCTGAGGCTCAGGGATGAGCCATGACTTGCCTAAGGCCACCAGCTGGTGTCAACATTAGACCTTGAACCTTGGGCAGTGGCTTTTCTCTCTGGTTACAGAATGACCCTGACCTAGTGGGCACTAGGGGCAACCCTATGATCACGTCTTGAGCAGATCATGTCCCAGTTACCTGGGACGAGTTCTCTTCTTGAGTTTTTTTTCCTCTGTTTTTCTAACAGAGATGAGCTACATGCACACGCTATGAGCATAGCTCTGACCCTCCTTGATCCCCAACCGAGAGGCAGGGCTGGCATTGCAACTAGAGGGGTAATTCCAGTGCCCCTTGGCCTGGATGTAAGCAGAAAGGTCTCACTCCTTACGCTCCTATCGCTCCCTGTAGGGACCTGCCTCCAGCCTCATCTTCCCCTGAAAGCCTTCTACCTCCTGTCTCCCCAATTCATCCAGCCTTCTCTGAGGCCCTGACTAGGGGAGCTCCTGCCCTAAGGGTTCCTGTTTCGCTCATTTTTACCTGCAAATGACAGGGGAGGGGGTGTTCCTCCCTGCCTTCTAGGAACTTCGAGAGCCCAAGGGGAGAGAATCATCCAGAATACAAGAGAGCAGGGCTTGCGTACATGCTTGCATGTGTGTGCCCGTACATGCTTGCATGTGTGTGCTCGGAGGAGCAAGGGGGCTTTGCGTTGAGGACTTTTGGTTCCATGAGAGAAAGAGGTCTGTCTGGTGGGCAGCGGGCTTGCTTTCTGTACCCTCTTCCACATGCTCCTGTGTGTGGTATGCGTCTCAGCCTCACTGCTCCATTTTCCGCACCTGCATGAAGGCCCAAGCCATCCCCCTGACCTGACTAGTGACGGCCTGATGATAATCGTGCTCGATGCCCAGCTCCGACTCTGCACGAGTCCTTACGCACGGGGCTGTTAATGCTCACGTTAGCGTTGCGACGTTGGTATGCTGTCCTGTTGGCCAGATAGGAAACAGGCTGAGGAGCACTTGTGCAGACGGGCACTCTCCAGGCTTGAAGGGGGACAGAGGCTAAAGGTTCAAGCTGGAGTTGCCACTGTAGGGAGAGCCCTTAGGAGCAGCCAGCCCTGCCCCCTACCCCCCTAAATGGGATGAAGAGAGTGGGAGAAGTAGCTGCGGGACTGTGTAGAAACAGGGGGGCTGGCCGCACACCGGTGTCCCCCACTGGGTCCTTTCCTGTCTGTGTCTCTGAGGGTCACTGACCTATCACTGTTTCAGGCCAAGCCTCTTTCCTTATCTACGAGCACTGGGCTCCTGTGTATTTCAGCCACATAGCTATTACCTCCTCCAGAAAGCCTTCCTGGAATAACCGGGTTGAGTTGAGCCTAGCACCCTACTCTGATGGTTCCTCTGGCTTGGTCCGGCCAATCTGAATTGTAACTATTTTCGTTTTTGGCTCCCCTACTAGATTAGCAACCCTATGGGCATGAAGTGTTTGTCCATCCCTCTCCCTGGGTTTTTCTGGGCTTCGGGTCTGTCTCTGACTATCTGGTCTGTCTCAACTGTTCAGTATTCTCTCTTTCTCCATCTCTGGGTCCCTGTATGTCTCAGCATCTGTGGTTTCTCTGCTTTTGAATGTTTTGGGTCTGTTTCTTAGTTGCTGTCTAGATGGTCTCCATTTCTCTAGGTCTCTCTGTCTCTGTCTCCTGACAGGCTGGGCACTGCCCCTTTGGTCTGAGAGGGCCCCTGGGGGGGGGTCCTTGCTGCCCTGCTTGCCCACAGCGAGGCCAGGCCTGGGTAGGCCCCCGCCCAGCCCGCTGCTGCCTGCTCCCTCCCTCCCTGCCCGCTTGCCTCACCACAGGGTTTGATGAATCAAACTCTTTGTCTGGGTGGGATCTCCCCTAGCCAGCTGGGCAGAGAGGGCTTCCCCTGCCGGAGCAGTGGAGCAGCATCAGCAGCAGGCCTCAGCTGGAGAGGTGAGGGGCTGTGGAAGGGGGCCAGCAGAGGGCCAGGGGCAAAGGCCGTGGGGACTCAGACCCCTCCGACGTTTAGGCCTGTCTCCAGGCTCCAACATCTCCGCAGGGTGACTTCCTGCCCAGAAAGGCCCTGTTCAGCCTAGCCTGACCCAGGGTCTGGGAGCCGGGTGAGGAGAAACCCCTCTCTCATCCTGAGCTAGGGGGGGCTGAGGCACTTCCCTGCCCCCTCTGGGAGGTCCCAGCCTGATTGGGGTGGTGGCCTGCCTGCCAGTCTGTGACCCTCCCAGCCAGCTTGGCATGGGCGTGGGCACTGCTCAGCGCTGAAGGCCGCAACTTGGCATGGGGGGCGGGTAACACCAAAACGACGAGTCATGGGCCTGTGCGTCTGGGTCTGCATCCTGGTCCTGGTGTGTGCGTGTGAATGGAACAGGAGTGTGTAAAGGCTTGACTGCCTGTGTAAACATCGGAGCGGCAGCATGTGAGAAGGCATCTGTGTGAATGTATGTAGTTGATTTAAAAAGTGTGTGTGTTGTAGGCACCGGAATTCGAAAAGTCTGAGTGTGTCTACAAACCTGTGCGTGTTAGTGTGTGTGCTCGGAGAAAACGTGTGCAGATGTATATGTTGAAGCATGGGTTCTGTGACAAGGTATCTATCTGTAGGTCTGATCATACTGCCTGTGTGTTGGAGAATGTGCAGGTGGTTAAGAGCACAGGTTGGAATCCTGGCTGTACCAGTTACCAAATAACCACCTGACTATGTGTCACTTTCCTCACCTATAAAATAGGGGTAATGAGGAACCAGGAGATAGTGTAATGGTTATGTTGCTGGACCCTCATGCAATTGACCATGGTTTGAATCCCAGACCCAGCGGCTTAAAACTCACACTGGGGGAAACCAGCAGTTAGCGCAATGGCTATGTCCCTGGACTCCCAGGTAGTCGACCGCGGTTCGCGTCCCGGACCCGGTGGCTTAGAACTCACGCCGGGCGTGTGTGCGTGCATGCCCAAGATCCCCAGAGGAGAATGGAGGAGAAGGGATTGCGGCGTGGCCATCTCCCCTGGGGGGTGATTTCTCGCTTTCTGTCTCCCTGTCTCTCTCTGTCTGGTGAGCGCATGCGCCCTATAGCGAAAACCTCTCTAAAAAACAAACAAACAAACAAACCTCACACTGGGCATGTGTGCGTGTGTGCCCAAAGTCCCAAGAAGAGAATGGAGAGGGGATTGCAGCATGGCCACCCCCCGTGGGATGATTTCTCACTTTCTGTCTCTCTGGCAAGCACAGGGGCCCTATAACAAAAAAATCTCTCTAAAAAAGAAAAGAAAAAATAATGGGGGGCAATGAAGCATTACCTCAGGAGTGCCATGAGGGGTTAAACGCGGTGTCACATGTAAAGTACTTGCCTGTCATTCGGTCAGCGCCAAGTACTGGCTATTACTATGTAACCTGGCATGTGGGTGTTTGTACAGGTGGGTGTTACACACGTGTGCACAGGGGTTGTCCAGGCCTCCAGCACGTAGTGGCTTACCGGCCAGCCCGCTATCTGGGTCTGGGCCTGATACCTTCTCCCCTGCAGGACCAGATAGGTGGCAGAGCAAAAGAGGAATGGACTGTGGGCCACCTGCTACCCTTCAGCCCCACCTGGCTGGGCCACCTGGCACTGCCCGTCGTCCAGTAGCCGTGTGCCAGCAAGAGAGTCTGTCCTTTGTGGAGCTGCCCGCCCTGCAGCCCCCAAGTCCTGTGTGTTTGGACCTTTTCTCAGTCACCCCGGAGGAGCTGCGGGCTCCCGGCAGCCGTTGGTCCCTGGGGACCCCTACCCCTTTCCAAGGGCTGCTATGGCCACCATCCCCAGGAGGCCCAGATACAGAGAGCTCCACTGGCAGCGGGATGCGGCCCAGCAGGGCTGGCAGCTGGCCACACTGTCCTGGTGCTCAGCCTCCAGCTCTGGAGGGACCCTGGAGTTCCCAGCACCCACAGCCACAGCGCCGGGCCAGCCATGGCTCAGAGAAGAAATCAGCCTGTGAGTCACCCTGTGAGGGGGAGGTGGCCCAGTGGGGGGAGGAGCTGGGTGACTTTTAGAACCCTTTAAGCCCCAGAGTCTCCTAAAAAGTCAGGACAAGTAGTAGATTGTAGTGAGAGAGGAACTAGGACCCGGCGAGGCAAATGACAACCAAGGTTACAGAGTGAGCGGGTGGCTGTCCTTTGTGCGGTTAGGTGCCAGCTCTCTCCCTGCCCCTCTTGTTGATCCCATTGCTCTGGGAACCAGGTGCCAGCGCTGGCCTTTCCCTCCGGCATGGTGGACCTCCCTCAGATGCTGGGCCACAGGGCCGCAGCAGGGACCAGGCTGGCAGGGACCCTACTGGATGTCAGCCTGTGTTCTCACTCTGCCCCCCGCAGGGCGCAAGATGCGAGTATACCAACGCGAAGAGGCTGCAGGTAGCCCCGAGGCCCACGCTGTCTTCCTGGAGCCCGGCCAGACAGTGCAGGAGCCAGCCCTGAGTGCAGAGGAGCCTAGGCCGCTGGAGCTGGCTGAGTCCCCCCGAGTGGGCCTCGAGGGGCCTGAGCGGAGGCGCTTCTCCGCCTCGGAGCTGATGACCCGGCTACACTCTTCACTGCGCCTGGGGCGGAATTCTGCAGCCAGGGCCCTCCCCCCAGGACCTGGCACTGGAGTAGCTAGGGAAGGTACCAGTCCTCCCCTGGGCCCTGAGAGCAGGCCACAAGCCAGAAGCGAGGTGGGACACAGCCTATTCACTGGAGCCCTGAGACTGGGTGCTTGGGCCCAGGGCCACTCTCCGGACCACTGCCCTCAGCTCTTACCCTCTCTAGGAAAAGCATCTGGAAGGGAGTTACGGAGCATAGAGATGAGGGTGGACGGTGTGTCACTGCCAGGCCCTGTTGACCGAAGTGAGGACCATGGAGGCTGGCCTGAGCCCAGGTACCACCTGCCACTCCAGGTTCAGGTCACAGGCAGTGTGCAGGAGCAAGGTCCTGACATTTTGTTTCCTAGGCTGGACACGCAGGAAGAGCCATCTCTGGCTTCCTGGAGCACCAACGCCAACGCCAATGAGCGACGCCAATCACGATTCCTCCTTAACTGTATGTGTGGGGGGGGGCACTGAGGAAGGGGCTGGAGGGTGGAAATAGGGAAACTTTGAGTTATGGGGCAGAGATCGCGTGAGGGCCAGGAAATTGAATTCTCAGTATTCAGTGCAGGGACAAGCATGCAACTGGCTATCTTAAGTGTTTACAGAATGAATGAGTGAGTGAGTGAGTGAATGAATGAATGAATCCACTGTGCCCAGACATTCCAACCTCTGCAAAGGCCTGTTAAGTGAGGCGGGCCCTTGAGGGGACAGGGGAAGGGCTAAGCCCCAGCTGGTGGGCAACCCACGTCCTTCCCCACCCCTTTTCCTGCCCAGCTGTCCTCTACCAGGAATACAGCGACGTGGCCAGTGCCCGTGAACTGCGGCGGCAGCAGCGCGAGGAGGAGGGCCCAGGGGACGAGGCAGAGAGCGCGGAGGAGGGGCCCGGCCCGCCCCGGGCCAACCTTTCCCCAAGTAGCTCCTTCCGGGCGCAACGCTCTGCGCGAGGCTCCACCTTCTCACTGTGGCAGGACATCCCGGACGTGCGCGGCAGCGGCGTCCTGGCCACCCTGAGCCTGCGGGTCTGCAAACTGCAGGAGGTGGGCTCCGGGGCCAGGCGGGGCAGAGCCAAATAGGGGTGGATCAACTGGGGCTTAGCCGACACCCTGCCACAAAGGGGCGTGGTACGTGGGCGATGGGCGTGGCTCTGGGATCCAGACCGAGTGGAACTACGGAGGGCGGGCCAGAAGTGGGTGGTCTGTGACTTAGCGGGGACTCGGGCCACAGCGAGACGGGATTACAAAAAGGTGGGCGGGCGCAGTGGACTATCAACGTGAGGCTGGGTGCTAGAACCTGAGTAGGTGGGCATGGCTGGAAGCGAGGATGGAGGAGCGGTGGAGCCAAAGGCGAGGGGTAAAGCTAGGGGAGGGCGTGAGCAGGGGGCGGAGTCAACAGCGAAGCCTGTGATAGGGCTCAGGCTGGAAGGGGCGGAGCCATTGGGAGCACAAACGCGTGTGGGTGGGGCTAATGGAAGGACACACCGCCGAGGAGGGTGGCCCTCCGAGTGGCTAGGGGTGGAGTCCAGGGCTCCGTTTGGGCTTGGATAATTGTCCGCTGCAGGAGGCGGGTTCCCCGGTGTGGACCTCGTGCCAGGTTAGCAGTGGGGCTGGAGAAGGGGTAGAGACACCGGGTGTGACTGTTTCCAAGGTGGTGTCTTGGGAGTTGGGGTACGAAGCCAGGGCGCTCAGGGTGGGCTGGCCCATCTCATTCGATCCTGTGTCCTCCCTCTCAGGCCAAATTTGAGCTGATCACGTCTGAGGCCTCGTACATCCACAGCCTGTCGGTGGCCGTGAGTCACTTCCTAGGCTCTGCCGAGCTGAGCGAGTGTCTGGGGGCGCAAGACAAACAATGGCTGTTTTCCAAATTGCCCGAGGTCAAGAGCACCAGTGAGAGGTGAGGGAGTGGTCTGGTCTGAACAGGGTCAGGACAGCCTGTGGTTGGTTGCGTTCCTGTCTCTGCCCTAGCTCTGACCTCCCGCGAACTCCCCAGGTTCCTGCAGGACCTTGAGCAGCGACTGGAGGCAGATGTGCTGCGCTTCAGCGTGTGCGACGTGGTGTTGCACCACTGCCCGGCCTTCCGCCGTGTCTACCTGCCCTACGTCACCAACCAGGCCTACCAGGAGCGCACCTACCAGCGCCTGCTGTAGGGCTGGGGCTCTGAGAGTGGGGGGAGGATGAGGGAGTCTTAGGTTGGTGTAGGTGCCCAGGACTAGGTGAGGAAGGGTGGCTCTGGGAAAGGAGGAGACCCAAACCCAAGGGGGGCAAGAAGGATGTGCTGAGAAGGACCTGAAGGACCAGTGGGGTGACCAGAGTCATGGGTCCCAGAGTCACTCGTGACTCCAGACCTCTTTCCATCTCCCAGTCTGGAGAACTCTAAGTTCCCCGGCATCCTGGCTCGCCTAGAAGAGTCTCCCGTGTGCCAGCGCCTGCCCCTCACCTCTTTCCTCATCCTGCCCTTTCAGAGGATCACACGCCTTAAGATGCTGGTGGAGGTACCTAGAGGGCAGAGCTTGGGCAGGGCAGGGCAAGGGGGATGCATGGCCTCCTCCACAGCCCCTTCTAGGCAGTCTTGGGGAGGACGTGGCCCACCTCACCTCACTGACCCCGTCCTCCAGAACATCCTGAAGCGGACAGCACAGGGCTCTGAAGATGAGGACATGGCCACCAAGGCCTTCAATGCACTCAAGGAGGTGAGCTCTGCAGGGCAGGGGCTGCTTGGCTCCCAAGGGCCTTCCCACACCCCCGCGAGTCTCTGACGGAACCCCCAGCCCTTCGTCTCTGGTCTCCAGGAGGGAGTCTGAGGCTGGGCTTGGGGGTCTGGGAGGGGAGCTGCAGTGACCCACGCGTGGCCTCCCCAGCTGGTGCAAGAATGTAATGCCAGTGTGCAGTCCATGAAGAGGACAGAGGAGCTCATCCATCTGAGCAAGAAGATCCACTTTGAGGGCAAGGTGCGTGCCTGCGGCCAATGGAGGGCGGCTCCTGTCTCCTCTTCCCCTGGGGGCACTGGGGCGCAGGCTGGTTCATCACTGCTCATCCCCCACCTCCTGCCCCTACCCCGTCCTATGCTCTGCCTGGCACCCAAGGCTTGATGGGTCCTCTCTCTTGCCTCCTCCATTCCCCCAGATCTTCCCGCTGATTTCTCAGGCCCGCTGGCTGGTTCGGCATGGGGAGCTGGCTGAGCTGGCACCGCTGCCCGCTGCGCCCCCTGCCAAGCTGAAGCTGTCCAGCAAAGCAGTCTACCTGCACCTCTTCAACGACTGCTTGCTGCTCTCCCGGCGCAAGGAGTGAGTCCAGGTGGTGCGGGGGAGGGTAGGTGAATCCGAACCGGGCTCCCTTTCCCCAACCATCGGGCCATGGCTGGTTCATCATAGGACCTTGGAACCCTGGCTGGTGCCAGGTTGTGCTGCCAGGGCACTGTGAGCTGGGCGGGTTCCTGAAGCCAAGGCAGGGATGCGAGGCAGGTTCATCTTCCGGATGGGAAGGTCAAGCCTGGACTGTGTGCAGAGGACTTGAAGCTGCTCTGAGCGGAAGCCAGTCAGAGCAGAGATGAAGAGCACAGCCCAGAGTCCCAGTCCTGCCCTGAGTCAGAGCGACCATAGCCAATATTTACTCAGCGCCTGCTCTGAGCCAGGCGTGGTATGCGGATTACTGCCTTTCATTCTGCTAATATCTCCCTGGGAAGTAGACTCCCTTGTTATTCTCAGGGTGCAGCTAGTAAGTGGAGAGCCAGAGGAGCCCAGGTTGGTCTGATGCCAGGTCCCAGGTCCCCTGTAAAGAGACTAGCACGTAGGGAGATGCACTGTGATAGCGCGTGAAAAGAGCTTAGCATAGTGCCTGGCACAGAGTGGATGCTCGCTCAGTGTTAGCTGTGGTTGTTCAAAGTGAGGAACGTGTGGCCAGCAGGTGGCGTGGTTAAGGTGCTGGATTCCCACACAGTTGACCATGGTTGAGTCCCAGACTCGGTGGCTTGAAAACCACACCGGATGTGTGTACGTGTGTACCCAAAATCCTGAGAAGAGAATGGAGGAGAAAGGATTGCAGTGTGGCCATCCCTCCAGGGTGGTTCTCACTTTCCCTCTCTCTGTCTCTCTCCTGGGAGCATGCACACCCTATGGCAAGTGTGAAAACCCAAAAAAAAAAAAAAAAAAAAAGGGAGGGATGAGGGAGAAAACTTGGTATCAATAGACGAGGTGAGTCTTAAGAAAGGTGGGATGGGGACCAGCAGTTAGCATAATGGCTATGTCGCTGGACTCCTATGTAGTCGACTGCGGTTCAAGTCCCGGACGCGGTGGCTTAAACTCACGCAGGGTGTGTGTGTGTGCCTAAGATCCCGAGAGGAGAATGGAGGAGAAGGGATTGCAGCGTGGCCATCCCCCCTGGGGGGTGATTTCTCGCTTTCTGTCTGTCTCTCTCTGTCTCTCTGGCAAGCGCACGTGCCCTATAGCGAAAACCTCTCCAAAAGAAAGAAAGGTGGGATGGAGCGTGGAGACTCTGTGCTGTAAGGAGAGTTTATTCCTGATTTATTTGTTCATTCAGTAACTGCCACCAAATCCCCGTTCTGCGTCAGGCCTTCTGCTGGGTGCTGGGGACATACATATGAATGAGACTTGTCCTCTGCTCATAGGAGCTCTCGTTCTAGTGAAAATACATCCTAAACCATGTCAGCAGGGTTTTTATGGGAGAGCTTACTGTGGTAACCCCTGGTGTGGGGTAAGAACCGATAAAGCCTCTCAGAGTAAGGGACATTTGAGCTGGGTTTTGATGGCTAAGTAGGAGTTTTCTAGGTAGAGTATTTTGAAGGAGGGTAGAGCACAGTAACATCACAGTAGTGTATGAGAACAGAGTGTGTTTGGGAAATGGCAAAAGTTAATGTAGTTGGATTAGTAGAGAAGGGCAGGAGAGGGAACTTGGGATATTGAAATTCGTGACAGAGAGGCTGAGCTTTTTCTGAGGGCTGTGGGGAGCATGGAGAGTTAGGCAGGGAGGGATGTTTCACTCCTGGCCAAGCTGGAGGACGGAGCGAGACCAGAAGTGACAGGTGCTTCAGGATAAGTGGATTCCAGGCTCCATCAGGAGCAAAGGCAGGACTCAGCTACGAGTCGGCTGTGTGGACAGGGAAGGGGAGAGGTGAGCATGACGCCTGAGCTTCCTCCTGGTGGAGTCTCCCTGGAAAGGCAAATGGTGACCGGGATCTGGTTGGAGTGGGAGAGACCGCTGAGTTTTGTTTAGCAACTGAGATGAGGCGGGCTACGGAACACCCCGCCTTCCACTGCTGTCCTTCCCACCAGTGCTTACTGAGCCCAGTGGTGGGCCAGGCCGTCGGATGCAGTGGCAGAGGGTTGAGGCGTGGCCCTCTGGTGCTGCTGCTCCAGTTGGGGAGTCAGACACTCAGCGAGGCTGTCCAGTTGGCTCTTTAAAACGGGCTTAGGGAGAGCCCGGAGGAAGCTAGAAGTGCATGGGGTCAGGGACTGGTCTCTGTCAACGAGCTGGCAGGAGTGGAGCTCCTGGTTCGCGGGGACCTTGCTGGCTTGCCCTCCCACCAGGGGAGTGACACCCTGCACGACCAAGTGTCCGGGGTGTGGGGAGGGGGTGCTAGGGCAGCAGACAACACCTTCTCCCCCTGCCTATTGAGAACCACCTCACCCTGAGGCTGGGCGCTGGGAGCAGGGGTCCAGGCTAGGCTGAACGCACTCCCTGGTGTTCCAGGCTGGGGAAGTTTGCTGTGTTCGTCCATGCCAAGATGGCCGAGCTGCAGGTGAGGGACTTGAGCCTGAAGCTGCAGGGCATCCCCGGCCACGTGTTCCTGCTGCAGCTTCTCCACGGGCAGCACACCAAGCACCAGCTCCTGCTGAGAGCCCGGACGGAGTGAGTGGGGCTGCCTGGGAGTAGGGAGGAGCCTGAGAGGGCTGGGATGCCTCCGAGTGTGCTCCCAAGCCAGCGGCTCCCTGACGTGGGCAGCACACATGGGCAGGGCAGTGTCCTGGCAGATGGTTCCAGGGGTCACCATCTCCTCAGCCACTGTGCCTCTCCCAGGTGTAAACCACTGCACCCCTGTGGGTCTGGCTTCAGGACAGTGGCCTAAGGCTGGATTTGGGCCGAGCTGGCCTCCAGGAGTCCTGGATCTGCCTTTATGGTCAGAATCGGGTGGGCACAGGTTTGGAACAGGGCTGTGGTGGGGGCAGGTAGAACCTGGGTCCTGGGTCTGGACATGGCACCCAGTTCTCCAAGCCCTGGAATCAGCGTCCTGCCCTGGCGGGTTGCGACAGCTCAGCCTCCCTTTCCCTAGAAGCGAGAAGCAGCGATGGATCTCGGCTCTGTGCCCCTCCAGCTCCCAGGAGGACCAGGAGGTCATCAGCGAGGGGGAAGGTAGTAGCCCACCCCCAGGCCCACCTTCCTGGGATTGTGTTCCTCAAGGCCTTCCCCGTCCTCCAGTCCTGGGTGCTGTGTTCAAGGTTCCTCATGAGTCTGGGCAGGATTTACACAGGACAGGCCAACCCGCATTACATGAGCAGCACCTGGAAGACCTCAGAGCCCTTTCTGGCCTCCTATTTTGTCCCATGAAGGCCCATTTTACAAGCTAGAGCACGGATTCAGAGAGGTGGAGTGACTTGCCCAAGTTCATGCAGCTAGTAAGTGGCAAGGCTGGGAGTGGAACCCGGGTCTGTCTGGATCTTTGCATTGCTTTTTTTTTTTTTAGAATTATTATTTTATTGAACTTTAATTAATTAGCTTATTTTAATTTGACCAGAGATGGATAGAGTGAGAAAGAAAGAGGGAAAGTGAGAAAGCAAGCCACCAGGTCTGGGACTTAAACCGCAAGTGGGAGTCCAGCGTCCTTAACTACCACGCCACCTGCCGCCCCCGCATCATTTGTAAAGAGGGCAGGACCAGGGTGGCGGGGTGTGGGAGGTGGTGGCAGGGAGAGGGACCTGTCAGTTGGGATAGAGACTTCTCCTTCGGGTGTAAAGGGAAGCTGGGTCACTGAGGGCCTTGGTAGTGGGCACTGGGGAGCTACTGAAAGGTTTTGAGCAGCGAGTTGGGGCTGAGCTGTGAGTAGTGAAAGGAAGAGAACTAATTTTCACTGAGCACCTGTCATGTGCCAGGCCCAAGGCCCAACCAGACCACTCAGGGCCTCGTAAGCCCTCGGAAGACACTGGGTTTATTCTAAGGGGAGAATGGAAAGCACTGGGAGGCTTCTTTGTTTGGTTGTGTTTTTGTTTTTGTTTTTGTTTTTTGTTTTTTTGGGGGGGCATGTGCTCACCAGACAGAGAAAGAGAAACAGAGGGAGAGGAGAAAGCACCCCCGTGGGGAATGATCACTCTGCAGTCCCTTCTTGCCATCTTTCCCTCCTTTTGGGATTTTGGGCAGGCACACACAGGCACCTGGAGTGTCTCTCAAACTGCTGGGTCTGATACTTGAACCGTAGAGTTGGCCATGAAGGATCTGGCTGCTCCAATCACCAGGCTGCAGAGCTGGCCCACCCTAGGAGGTTTTATTTGTTTTTGATATTTTTGCTATAGGGCATGTGTGCTCTCAAAAGAGACAGAGCGTGGCAGAGAGACAGAAAGTGAGAAATCACCCCCTGGGGAGATGGCCACGCCGCAATCCCTCCTCCTCCATTCTCCTCTTGGGATTTTGGGCACGCACATGTGCCCAATGTGAGTTTCGAGCCACTGGATCTGGGACTCAAACCACAGTTGCCCATATGGCAGTCCAGTGACTTAAACACCACACCACCTTCTGGCCCCACCCCGGAAGGTTTCTAACAGGGGAGTGATGCCAGGTGGGAAGGAGGGCATGCAGGGAGCCCAGGAGTAGTGTCGGGAGCATATGAAGGGACCACTACTGTTCTGGTGGGCTGTCTGGGGGCAGTTGGATATTGGAGTCCACAGGTCAGCAGCAAAGTGATGAACTGAGCTGGGGCGATGAGAGCCCCAGAAGACAAAGCTAAGAGGGCTGGACTCACCAGGGCTTGTGTTCGAGTAAGGAGGCAGCATGGCCGGGGGCAGCAGATGGTACCACGTCTGTGGCTGGTCCTGCAGCATGGGAGAGGCAGAGGAAAGGAAGCAGCCATCCACCCACCCCCTCACTTCCTCCTGGGGCCCCTCCCCGTCCCGTCCCCCCCATCCGCCCTGACCCTCGGCCGACAGACCGCCCTCAGGTGCAGTGCGTCAGGACATACAAGGCGCTGCAGCCAGACGAGCTGACCTTGGAGAAGACCGACATCCTGGCTGTGAGGACCCGGACTAGCGATGGTGAGACGGGTCTCCTGGGAAGCCTCCCTGACGGCCCGGGTGGCAGGAGCAGCCAGGTGGCTACGACTTCCCGGGGAGAGATTATACAAGTGTCGTCAAGCCCAGCTTGAGGGAACCAGGTCAGATGAAAGGATGAACTCCCTGCTTGTAAGGAGGCAGGCCAAGAGAGAGATGGGAAAGGTAGGAGATACCTTCTCGGGGCATGGCGGGGAAGACTGCTCAGCACTTTATCCTCAAGACAGCCCGAGACAGGGTCCTTCCTGGAGTGGGAGATGCTGAGATGATGTCACCGGGCGTGCATCAGGGCCAGGATGATTCCTCCTGCCCTGTGAGCCCCAGCTGCTGCTCTTGGTCCATGTGTCCCTAGGCTGGCTGGAGGGGGTCCGCCTGGCAGACGGTGAGAAGGGGTGGGTGCCCCAGGCCTACGTGGAAGAGATCAGCAGCCTCAGCGCCCGCCTCCGAAACCTCCGGGAGAATAAGCGGATCACCAGTGCCACCAGCAAACTGGGGGAGTCCCCCGCATGATGGGTGACTGTGCCTAGGATGCCGACTCCAGGCCCAGCTCCCGGCAGTGTCTCCATGTCCCAAGTCACCTGCACAGGCCGGACACAGGAGCAGGGAGCCTCCAGATGGTCTCCCCCCATACCCACACTCATAGGGGTCATGACAGGTGGCCACCGGCAAAGACTGGGGCCTTGTGTCCTCCGTGCCCTTGACCTGCCTGACTCTGGGCCCTGCAGCAGGGGCCTGACTGGGGAACACTCTGGTGCTAATCGGTGCAGGGAGCTACGTATCCCTGGGGTCTTCCCTGCCATCTACCCTGGCCAGAGCGAGTGGGTGCTAGTTGCTGCGACTTGTTTGTAAATAAACTCCCATCATGCCTTTGCTTGGAGACTGTGGGCCATCTGATGCTGCCCCCAGCCCCAGCCCTGTGTCCCCAGCTACACACGGTGGCAGGGCAGGGAGGGTAGGGTAGTGGGAGTCTAGAGTTTAACTGTCAACCCTAGGAGGGTGCCCAGAGGGCAGAGGGGCTCTATAGCAGTTAGGCTGCTTTTAGCTGCAAGTAACAAAATGTCTGATTCACATGAGCTCAAGTATTAAAGAGATTTGTATGAGTTCTTTGTTTCCCATGGTTTCTGTGAGTTCCCGCAAACTGGGTGACTTGAAACAATAGGAACTGTGCTCGCACATTCTGGAGACCAGGGGTCCGACGCCAGCACCATGGGGTACCCAGCTGTCAGCAGGACTCCGTGTGTCCAGGCTCTTCAGGGAGAAGTCACTGCTCTGGCCTCTTCTGGCTTCTGGTGTGACCAGCATTTTTTTTTTTTTTTTAAGAATTATTTTAACTTTATTTATTTATTTCAATTTGACCAGAGAGGGATGGGGCGGAGGGGGGGGGAGAAAGTGAGAAAGCAAGCCATCAGGTCTAGGACTTGAACCGTGGCTGACCATGTGGAGTCCAGCACCTCAACCACCACACCACCTGCCGGTCCCATGGCCAGCATTTTTGATGAGCCTCCGCACCCCGCAGTCTCTGCCCCTGTGGTCACACGACCTTCTCTGTGTGTATCAGTCCCTCTCTGCCTCTCACTTGGAAACACATGATTGCCTTTGGGGCCCACCCAGATTGTCTCCCTGCCTCATAGTTCTAAATCCCATCTGCAAAGACTCCCTTCATCTTGTTGCAGGAAATGGCACAGGTTCCAGAGATGAAGGCATGGGAGTCTTTCACAGGACCCTTTGTCAGCTCAGCACAGTATTTTTGTTTGTTTTTAAATTTGTTATAGACAGGGGAGGGAGAGGGAGTAAGAAAGCATTCCACAGAGGGACGGCCATGCCACAATCCTATCTCCTTCACTCTCTTCTCAGGATTTTCCGTGTGCACACATACGTGCCTGGCGTGGTTTTCAAGCTACTGGTTCTGGGCCTTGAACTGTGCAGTTAATCATGTGGGTTTCAACCTCCTCAACCACACCACCAGCTGGTCCCCCCCAATCACGGAGAGATTTTCCTATAGGGCATGTGTGCTCACCAGAGAGACAAAGACAGAGAGACAGAAAGTGAGAAATCATCCCACAGGGTAGTTGGCCATGTTGCAATCCCTTCTCTGTTCTCCTCTTGGGATTTTGAGCATGCACTAATATGTGCCCAGCTTGAGTTGCAAGCTGCCGGGTCTGGGACTTGAACCACAGTTAACCATGTGGGAGTCCAGTGATGTAACCATTATGCCTTCTATTGGTCTCATGACAATTCTTATAACTGAGAAGTGTGGCGGCAAGGTGGGTTTCAGGCAAAATTTGGTCCAGTGGCTCGTGGAGATCACTGAGGACCAGCTCTCTCTACTTCTTTATTTTGCTGTTCTTGGTATTGGCTTCCGGAGGTCTTTTATTTTTGGAGAGGTTTTTGCTATAGGGCGCGTGCGCTCGCCAGACAGAGAGAGATAGAGAGATAGAAAGTGAGAAATCACCCCCCAGGGGGGATGGTCACACCACAATCCCTTCTCCTCCACTCTCCTCTCGGGATCTTGGGCACGCATGCACACGCGCCCGGTGTGAGTTTTAAGCCACTGGGTCCGGGACGCGAACCACGGTCGACTATATGGGAGTCCAGCAACATAGCCACTACGCTCACTGCTGGTCCCGCAGAGGTCTTTTCATTCACACTCAACTTGGAAGAATTGCTTTGTCTCAGCAAAGTCTGGATTCTCTCAGATGGGCCAGTTAGGGTCACGTGGTTTCCTCAGGGCCAATGTGGCCAGGAGTGGTGTGTGCTGATAGACCTCACTCAGGTCATATTTCTGTCTCTGGAGCCAGGTTGGAGAGTTCTGGAACTTATGCATCCCAAGTAGAATTTGGTGGCTGCATGATAGAGCACGTGTGAGTGAGGGTGAGAGAGTGGGAGAGAGAGACGGGAGATGGCCCCACCGCCGTCTGGCCATGTCGTGTCCCTCCAGCCTTCCAGGCTGTGGGGTCTTGGGCACGTGTGTGACTGGCATGTCCAGGCTGAGCAGGCCTGGGGTCCGAAGTCACGTGGGACCTGGCTTCTCTTGAGCAGCGCATTACCCCTGTGTCACAGGGCCGGCCAGCCTGCCAGCATCCACGCGGCTCCGGGATGGCTGGAGAGCAAGTTACCGCCATGCCCGAGCCAGCCCTGCGGTCATTCACTTCTATCAGCAGGACCCATTTATTTTCTTCATACCTTGGGTTACAGTCCATTTTTTTATTTAAGGTTTTGCCATAGGGCACATGCTTTGGCCAGAGAGAAGCAGAGAGAGGGAAAGTGAGAACCCACCCCGTAGGGAGGTGGCCATGCTGCAGTTCCTTCTCTTCCCTTCTCCTGTGGTTTTGGGCACACGCACACGTGCACGCATGATTTTAAAGTCACCTGGCCTGGGACTCCAACCACCGTCAGGCACATGGGAGTCCGGCACCTTAGCCACTATGCCATGAGCTGCCCCTAGTCAATATTATGTCACCTATTTTGTTCAAATTGTTTCAACCTTGGTCACTGGGAGTGCTTCTAGATGGGCTCTGGTGTCTGTCTCCTGTGCCCTCATCCTTTTTTTTTTTTTTTTTTTTTTTTGAGCATTTCCTTGATTTCTGGCACCACAGATATTCCAGGTTCATCCTACAATTTTATCTTTTCTTTTTTTTTTTTAAGAATTGTTTTATTTCATTTATTTATTTATTCATTCATTTTAATTTTTTTTGAGAGGTTTTTGTTATAGGGCTTGTGTGCTCGCCAGAGAGACAGAAAGCGAGAAATCACCCCCCAGGAGTGATGGCCACGCCTCAATCCCTTCTCCTCCATTCTCCTCTCGGGATCTTGAGCATGCTTGCACATGCGTCTGGCGTGAGTTTAAGCCACCGGGTCCGGGACTTGAACCATGGTCGACTACATGGGAGTCCAGCGACATAGCCATTACGCTAACTGCTAGTCCCTCATTTATTTTAATTTGGTCAAAGAGTGACACAGGGAGAGAGATAAGGAAAGTGAGAAAGCAAGCCACGAAGTCCAGGAATCGAACCAAGGTCGACCACGTGGGAGTTTCTAGCGCCTTCACCACCGCACCACCTGCTGGTCCCCCATCCTACGATTTCCTTGCCTTGACTCTAGAATCAGCCATTTCGTGTGGTTCCGTCCGTTTGGGAGAGTACTCTTTAGAAACCAAGATCTGGATACTGGGTGTGCTTATTGCAACTGAGGTGCCACTGCTTCTAGGTCTCCTTGTCAGACAGAGATAGAAAATGCATGTGTGCGGGACCAGCAGGCGGCGTGGTGTTTACGTGGCTGAACTCCCATGTGGCCAACTGCGGTTTGAGTCCCCGACCTGGTGGCTTGAAACTCACACTGCATGTGTGTGTACACGCCCAAGATCCCAAGAGGAGCGTGGAGAAGAGATTGAGTGGTGGCCATTCTCCTTGGGGAATGATTTCCCACTTTCCCTCTCACTGTCTCTGTCTTTCTCTCTGGCAAGCACACGTGCCTTAAGGCAAAAACCTCTACACACATACAAACACACACACACACACACACACAAGAAAATACATATATACATATGTGTAGCATGTGATTTAAGGCAAAACACCAAATTTTTTTTTTTAAGTTTTTGCTGTAAGGCACGTGTGCTTGCCAAAAGAGACAGAGAGAAAGAGAGAGGAGAGAGAGAGAGAAAGTGAGAAATCATCCCTTGGGGGGATGGCCATGCCACCATCTCCTAAGAGAAGAGATTCTATTCTCCTGTCAGGATTCTGGGCACACGCACACATGTGCCTGCTGTGTTTTTCAAGCTGCTGGATCTGGGACTTGAACTGGGCAGTCGGCCATGTGGAATCTAGCCACCTTAACCACCATGCCACCTATTGGCCCACACCAAGCTTTTTAAAGGGTTCTTGCTGTTGTTATCACCTAAATGTATTCATTTCTTCTATGAGAGAGGAGGAGCTCCCCGTTGAGTGCATATACGTGATCCAGCCTCAGTCACAGATGGTCCAAACCACAGTCACGTGTGCCTGGTGTGTCCAGGGAGGTCCCAGGACTTGAACCGAGGCCTTCTCATGTGGGTCGGTTGTATTACAGCTGTTCTACCTCCTGGCCCTTTTCTTTGTTTAATTTGCTAGAGAGTGTACCCATTCACCAGAGAAAGAAATGGGGTGGGGGGGAGGGATAAAAAGCACCCCTGGGGGACCAGCAGGTGGCGTGGTGGTTAAGGCACTGGACACTCCCACATGGCCGACCACAGTTCAAGTCCCGCACCTGGAGACTTGCTTTCTCACTTACCCTCTCTCTCTTTCTCTGTGTCTGTCTCTGGTCAAATTAAAAATAAATGAATGAGTAAATAAAAATTAAATAAAGAATTATTTTTAAAAAAGAAAAAGAAAAGAAAGCACCCTTCAAGGAGGATCGCCATGCCACCATTCCTTCTCCATTCTCCTTTCAGGATTTTGGGCACATGCGCATATGTACCCGGTGTGTTTTGTTAAGCTGCTGGGTCCAGGATGAACCGTGCAGTTGGTCATGTGGGATCCAGCTGCCTTCACCACCTCACACCGGCTGCTCTCTCCTTTATTTTTAAAGTTTATTTTTTCAGGGACCAGCAGTTGGCGTAATGGCTATGTTGTTGGACTTCCATGGAAGTCGACCGCAGTTTGAGTCCCGGACCCGGTGGCTTAAATTCACGCCGGGCGCGTATGTGCCCAAGATCCTGAGAGGAGAATGGAGGAGAAGGGATTGTGGCATGGCCATCCCCCCTGGGGGGTGATTTCTCACTTTCTGTCTTTCTGTCTCTGTCTTTCTGGCAAACACATGCACCCTATAGCAGAAACCTCTACCAAAAAGAAAAAGAAAAGAAAAGTTTATTTTTTCATGAGAGCGAGCGAGAATGAGCACTGTCAGCAGGGTTCCGTGCTGCGATCCTGCCCTGCCCCAGCCCTCCCAGTCCGCCGTGTCGTGGGTGCAGGGGTCAGCAAGGAAGCAAACTTCGGTCTTCCACGTGGCTGCACTGTGTCCCCGTGTACACTGAGCCTGCCCCCAAAGGCTCTGGGAGGCCTTGCTTACCTTGCTTGCAAACGGGGGTGGCGCTGACGGTAACTACTTCATGAAGCCACTGTGAGATAG